CACCAGAAGCTCCCGTTACCTGGGCAGCTAAAGGCTGTTTGTAAAAAGGTAATGAGGACCCTCACAGTTTGTAGAGGAGGGATTTGGTTTTTTTGACTAGAGAATGAAACCAGGGCCTTCACAGCTGAGCTGTGTCTCCAGCCCTCGTTTAATTGTTTTTACTTGTTTGTTTTGGGGTACCGGGGATGAGCTCTGGACCTTGCACTTGTGAGGCAGGTTGCAGAACCACTGAGCTAAATCCCCGGCCCCAAAAAATTAAAAGAAACTTTTGCCACAGGGCTTGCTAAGTTGCCCATACTGGGCTCAAACTTGTGATCCTCCAGGCCAGCGTCTGGAGTAGCTGGGTCCCCAGCTCAGGAGGCGGCTCTCATGGTGTCACCATGGGAACTTCTACAATAAAAATTTTTCATTTGAGTAAGCCTCATGTGCTTATTTTAAAAATCCTCTCATACATTTTAAAAAGTGTTTGGTCTTCCTGTGTCTGGTCTGATAAGCTTTACATCTCGTTGTCTAACCCAATGGAGACAAATCTAACACCGGCATCGGGGTTTTGATTGTCAGCGAAACCCCTTTGCGGTGTGGAGGTGATGAACACAGGTGACGTTTTATAACATTCACTTCAGAAATCATTCACTTCAGCCCCGTGAAAACTCTGCTCTGACTTTCTTGCTAAGGTGCCTGAAAAGTGATTACTATTTAAAATACAGTCTAGTGGTGATGCACACGTGTAATCCCAGCACTCAGGAGGCTGAGGCAGGAGGATTACTGAGTTTGAGGCTGGCCTCGGCTACATATTGAGACCCTTGTCTCAAAAAATAAACTAAATAGGTCTGGGATTTAGCTCAGCAGCAGTGCGCCTGCCTTGCAAGTGCAAGGTCCTGAGTTTGATCCCCAGTACCACAAAATAAATAAAAATGTCCTGGCCTCAGCTAGGACCTTACCGGTGATGGCAGGCAAGTGCCCTGGCTTCTCCTGGGGATTGGGCTCCTCAGCCCATGGCTTCCCCTCTTCCTGGGGGGACTCTGAGGAGACCTTGAGGCCACATTTGTGGCTGGCCTGCTCAGTGGACGGGGATTGAGCAGACTGTTTCAGCTTCCTGCTGGTAGATTTTATCCTCAGGGCGCCAGGGGGGCCCAGCTGAGACCCAGTCCTTGAACTGCGGCCCCGCCCCACGTGGATCTCAGATGGAGCTGCTACTGTGGGCTGCTGTTGGGGTTGTGGACACAGTAACCACGGCTGACCTCACTTCCAAGGCTGGGTTTGTTGAGAGCTTTCACTGTGGACTTGGGACGCCCAGGGAGCCGTGGAGAGCACCCCTTCCTCCCTGGTGGCGTCTGCAGGTGTGCGGGCTGGTGTGGCTGCGGTGGGGAGCAGGTGCTGCCAGGCTGGAACAGGACGAAGCGATTCTCACTTCAGGGCCACGGATGCCACTGCTTTGCTGGGATGCTGTGCAGGCCAGGGAGGGCTCCCTCTGGAGGAGTCGCCGTCACTGCCTGTGGTCTGCAGAGAACCTGTGGCCCCTTCAGGTGACCCCAGAGGGTCTGGGGAAGGGGTTACTTAGCCTCTGAAGGGCGGGTGGAGACACCAGGGGTGTTCATGCCACACTGAGGACAGTGTGCCACTGAGCTCTGTCCCCAGCCCCTTTTAGTTTTCAGCTTGAGACAAGGGCTCGCTAAGTTTCCTCCTGCCATGGCCTGCCACAGCTGGGGTTATTGGCATGTCTCCGTGCTCTGCTCCCCTTGAGATTTAAGTGGCGGGGTGGAGGCTGTGATTCTGGTCTCCCAGGTGCCGAGCCTGCCCTGGTGGGATCTGGGTGGCACCTGGGTCTCCCCGGCCCTGTCCAGGATCTGAGGCCCGGGTAGCACCCAAGGGCCGGCGCTGGGCCTTGGCTGTGTGAGAAAAGGTCACCGCGGTGCCTACGGGAGGTGCAGAAGGTGGAGGGGCGCCTAGGGCTGTGGAGCTGGCCCCCATACGCCTGGGTCTCAAAGTGACCGTATTTGGTGATAGGTCTAAAGCTGGTCGTGGTGGTGCAGCCTGTAACTGCAGCGCTCCAGAGGCTGAGGCAGGGTCCACACAAGTTTGAGCCCTGCCTGGTCTATGTGGTAAGTTCAAAGCCACCCTGGAGTACAGACAGGCACCCTGTCTAAACACAAAACAAAAAAGATTGATAGATGTAATGGAAGAGGAGGTCATGGGTTTAAGTCGTCTGCGGGGAAACTGATCCCACCCGAAGGCCTTGGAAGACGGGAGAGGGAACAGCGACCCTGACCGGGGCGTTGAACGACACAGGCTCTGGCAGGGCGGGGAAGGGCGTCCCGGGAGGACACCCGGCCGCCTCCTGGCCACTGTCCTGCCCTGGAGCCCACCCAGGACCCGAGCCTGTGGGGTGGGCGCCCCAGCACAGCGGCAGGGGGAGCCCCGCGCCTCGGTGCCAGCAGTGGCCTCCACCGGGAAGGCTGACGGCGTGTGTAAGAGATACCGCGGGTGTTGACCTTTAAAGTGGAAACGCGTCCAGTCAAAAGCGTTTCTTACCATGAGACGCAGCGCCGTGGACCCCAAGTCCCCTCCCTTCGCGCACGCTCCTTCCGCCCTGGCCGCTTCCTGCCGCAGCTCCGGTGGCCGCTGTCCTGAGGGTTCAGCTGCGGGCACCCGGCCGCCTCGCCCCGCCTGAGGGACGCCGAACGCTGCCCTTCAGGTCACCCTGATTTAGGAGGAAATGGGAAGTCGCTGCGCCAGATCCGGAGTGAGGACACAGCCAGGGGTGTGAGCTGCCTTTCCGCTGGGTGGCGCTCAGCAGCTGCTGTCATCTTTATTTTCTTTATCCCGCCTGTAAAGACGCTCAGGAGAGGACTCCACAGCTACAGCAGGAAGCAGCCAAGGCGGTAAGACGAGCGTGTTTGAAGTGAGGGGTAGGTTTTTGAGGGGGATTCATGGCCATGTGTCTTTTACTGTAATAAAAGTGTTAAACATTAAGCATAGATTTTGATCATACATTATAACGAGGGAAACATTTATTTCTGCAGGATGTTGCCATGTGTCCCAGGCTAGCCCCAAACTCACAGGCGTCCTCCTGCCTCAGCCTCCCAAGTGCTAGGATTACAGGTGTGCACCACTCTGTCTTCAAGTTAATGAGTGAAATTTTAATTTAAAAAATTGTATGTACTCAAAAGTGAAGCAAAGTAAGTTTAAAACTAAGTCAAGGCAGCCAAGATTTTACTTTTTTTTAAGAAGCATAAGGAGGTTTGAGATGACAGAATTTAAAGTACAGACTCAAAGAAAATAGAGTGCAAACCCTGGAGAGAGGGCCTGGGAACACTTGTCTGTTCTTGGCAGTCAAAACTGTGGACTAGGTCGCCCCAGAAAGACAATTCCCCCTTCCAAGGGAGGAAGGTATGACTAGTCTATCTTGTTAAGCTGGGGGATCTAAGATGTTTTACCTAAAACAGTCTTTGAACTGTCTTTCCCTTTCTCTTAAGATCAGGATTTTGCCCTTTTTTTATTAGCTAAGCTAATTTCTGGGCTTGGAGGGTATTTAAGGAATTTGGGGGACAAGGGGCTACAAATTAAAAGTAGAACACGGATGTGTAGAGGCTGCCAAGAGTGAGGTGCAGTCATTCCAAGCCTCGAGCCCAGGTCCAACACGAAAGCGTACAGGCAGTTCAGGAGCGGAAGGGGCAGCTCTGGGGCGGGAGCTGCAGGGTGAGGGTCCTGGGGGCTGATCCCCAGGGAAGAGGCCGTCCTGCTCCCTTCTCTCTTCTCGCCAAGGCCACCCAGCCGGCTGAGTCTGCTGCAGGTGGGGCCCTCAGCTCCACAAGGTCAGGGACAGGAGTGCAGCTCCAAGGAGGAGAGTTTGGACCCCAGGAGAGGCCACGGGCTGTCCCTCCAGGCCCTGTGGGCTGTTAGGCCTTCCAGCCTCCAAGGCCACTGCTGGTCCCCTGGACTAAGTGCAAACGCCCAGGCAGGAGCCCCAGAGCACGGCCCAAGGACCCGACCTCCTGCACTATGCAGACCAGAGCTCGGTGCACTGCCCTGCTAAGGCAAGTGGCCCACTCAGGGACCCTAACAGAAGGCGGCCCTGGGGAGTGGCCCATGGTTTCTGTCTGGGCCAGCGAGTCTTTCCCTCGCAGTTCATGGGGGATCTGTCTGTCTGTCTGTGTTAGAGGCCTGAGGGGGGAACACGTTCGCACCGCGACCGTGACTGCAACAGTGACCATGTGGGCCCGCCAGAGTGGACTGCGGGGCGCACCCAGGGCCCCCGAGCCCTCGTGGGATGGGGTCGCGGCCTCACGTCTGTGCCGACTGGGCTTCTGGGGTGGCCTGGAGCCCGGC